GACGACAAAGCAAGAAAATCGGTGACTATCGACTCCGAGGTGAATGGACCATATGGATGGAGGCTGAGGGAGATACACAAGCTGGGAATCTGGTTGAGAAGAAGGGCCTCATTCTGTCCATAAACTAAGGGCAATACAGAGCACTGGGAAGGCGGACGAAGGACAATCAATGGCAAAAACATCTGCTACTGTAGGGTATAGACCACTCAGGGATATACAGTACTTAAAAGATGAAGCATAAAGGGGTAGTAGTGATACGGAAAACAACCAGTCACAGAAGTAGTTAACCCGCACTAAACAAACAGTGTTATATAGGACTGGAAGCAGGTGACTGTGGGGCTGGGTCTTTAAGCAAGAAGGAATTCATCTCTAATCCAGGGATTATACAGATTCAGCCTCATCAGATAAGCAGTACAGTGGACGATAAAGACAACCATGCAACCCATTTTTGTATGAATGAAGGGACGCCGGGCCCGGTTCCCGGCAGGTGATGCTCCCCACTAATAGATGGAGCCACACCGAGAGTGCTAGTGATGCCTGCTCTTACCAGCACCACTAGCATTACCTCGGGGTGTTTCTGTAAAAAAAAAAAAAAAAAAAAAAAAAAAAACAGGTCTGAAAGAATACGCAATTTCGGGGACCTGCAGAGGTTCCCGCAAAATATGTAACCCCGCGGCTGTCCAAGTTGACATTTATGTGTGAAAAATATGTAGCCCGTATGACCCAAAACAAAAAATCACCTATAATTTTATGAAAATGCGTGCTAGTGTGAGCATGCCCTCAGTTGGTACGCCCATGAGCTGATGAAGTACAGGCCCGTGTTCAAACCCAGATAACCCACAAAAAAAAAATCACATTGCGTTACCTCAGTTGAAACCCATGATGATGATATCTCAAGCCTCAGTTGGTACGCCCAGGAACTGATGAAATACAGACGAAGTTCGAATCCAGAGAACCAGGAGGAAAAAACGGGTACCCTTGGGTCTGTCCTTGTAGCCTTGTAGTGTTCTGTCCGAGTCGGGGTTCACTACATATGGGTGTTCTATGGGGTGGTGTGACGGCTCTCTCATGGTGCACACTGTGTTTCGGGGGGGAGGGGGGGGTTCGCTGGGCGTCTGGGTACCTTTTTTTTTTTTTTTGAGAAACTGCCCGAGCAGTTGCTAGGGGTGCTGATACAAGCACACACCACTAGCAACGCCAGGGAGGCTCCATCTATTGGTGGGGAGCAGCACCTGCTGGAAAACGGGTCCAGCGTCCCTGTCATACAGTGAAAGAATTGCAAGCATGAACAACCAATACACATGATGTCTTTTTGTTACTCTGCACTCACAATCTATCCACTTGCTACCATACACTATCGTGTCTGTTACTCTTCTAACTCATATCTATTATACTTGCATGTTTCTATCAGTAGGTGTGGGCATGGGATGTGAGGTTTTCCTATGCCTGTTTACTGAGAGACCACAAAATTAATGTATTAGGTGGAGCGGGTCGGTTTGTATCTGAGATCATGTGAGATAATGTCTGATAGATATATGGGTAATTGTGTGATAGTTACGTCTAGTCAGATATGCCATATAACACAACACATAGAAAGTCTAATGATTTTGTAACTGTACACAGTCACTGTGGAAGGTAGTAATATGATATCCTTGCTCGCCCCCCCTCTGGGTGCAATACACTGCCTCTTCTGTCACACAGACCCTTCCCTTCATTAGCCTTTCAACTTTTTAATCCGTACTTAAACCCCTACATCTTCCAGCGACCCATTTCTTCTCCCAGTCTTCTGTCTCATAGGCGGGGGCTGCAGTGGTCCATCCTGGCTGGCATTTTCTGTGTTGGTGTAGGGGGAGCAGCTGAATAGAAGGGTATGGGCTGCTGGGCGGGAAGGGGAGCATGGTCGGGGGTGTGAGGTAGGGGAGAGATATCAGGGACGTGTTCCAACTTCAATCTGTGACTGTTGAGCTTCGTGGAGGTCTGTGGGAACCAATACAAAGTTCGTTGGTTGGATATGGCATAAGAAATGGTCATCTGGGAGAAACTCCCAACTATTCTCCGTCGTAAGCCAAGGCTGCCACTGAAGGTGTCTTTGGTGGTCTAGTCTGCACAGCCTGTTATTGGGGTCRACCCAGGTGGYTGTAAAATTTTCCGTGAGTTGTTTTCTTTTTGACTCCTCYGTTTYGTTTTGTAGTTTGGATTGCAAACATTTCCAGGYGTCYCGYRTGTTTGCAATTATTGTATCGRCGATAACTACCTYSGCATGYTGAGGAGCAAATGTATTTTCGCCCCGSTCATAGGCACACCTCMTCCRCCAGGCTGTCATAATCACAGGCAGGCGGATATAYCGGAACAGGTTTAACATGTACTGAGTCCAGTYARTTAGTGGAGGGAGGGTGCCCRGGAGTATCACTTTCACTCCCCAWGGAAAATGGTGGCCTGTAAGATAGTGCCAAGCGGCATYSCMCCATTTCCAGAYTGGCACCACCATGGGGCATTCYAGGAGACAMTGCTCCAGTGTTGCCCTTCTTGTCGGGACAATGAAATTGCAAAACGTGCATAAGGGGGATACCCGTTGTTGTTGTTCTAGATCTGTTCTTTGAGTTACCCAATCAGGAGTAGTCAGACATCTATGTATGATCTGCCATTGCAATGCCCTTTGATTGGTTGGTTTGATATGGGCGTAGGTCGACCACTTGATATCCTTCAGGTCTTCCCGTGTCAAGGAGGAATCTCTTTCCCATCTCCTGGAAATATCATCCATTATGTGGGTCGAGGTCATGGTCCTCATTGTCCTATACCCATTTTTCACTGTGTATTGCCATGGAGTCATGTTTGAAGATGTTCCCCACTGCCATGCCCATTCCTTGGGATCGAATGGAAGGTGGGATAGAGGTACCGTGGTACCTTCACCAGTACACCACATATCGGCCCGTGGGTGTCAGCATGAAACCTGCACCACTTCGGAGGCCGCCAATTTTTTTTAACGGCGGGCTTGGCCGCGCTGCGCCTCCAAGTTTTGCTTGTGGCGACAAAAAACTTGCTGCAAGGCTGGGGCCGTTTACTAGCGGTGATGCCCTCCTCTCTGTGCCTCGGTGGTGCATGGGCTGCGTCTCCGCTGTTCGTTCAGGGCCCTGTCCATACTTTGAGCCTCCACACAACCTTCAAAGGAAAAAAAAAAAAAAAAAACAACTTGCATTACCTGGGGCCCGTCAGTTCAATGATGATATCTTTTTTTCTTCTTTTTTTTTTTGTTTGAACTTCGTATACGGGAAACCTACTTAAAGAGGTGATAAGAGCATCCCCGGGAAGTAGGCCCCAGCGTCTAAGGCTCCATCTATTGGTGGGGAGCTACACCTGCTGGAAATCGGGTCCAGCGTCCCTGTACAATGATGAAATTGAATCTGCTGAAAATCAGGCCCAGCGTCTGTGTGCAATGGTGTGAGTGTATGTGCTGGAAAGCGGGTCCAGCGCTCCTATCCATCTAGTCTATAGAGATTCCGAAACAAAATGACGCATCAATCCAATCAAACGAAACGCTAACCATGATGTGATGTGTATTACAATGATGTGATTTGTATCTGTTGGAAATCGGGTCCAGCGTCCCTATGTGTGCTGGAAAGCAGGTCCTGAGCCCCTATCCATCTAGTCTATAGAGATTCCGAAACAAAACAAGGCATCAATCCAATCAAACGAAACCCTGGCCATGATGTGATGTGTATTACAATGATGTGATTTGTATCTGTTGGAAATCGGTCCAGCTTCCCTATACTGTGTTGTGTAACTATGTCCAACAGTCAGAAGCTGTCTATATATGTCCATATTTTATATCTATCAATGTGTAATCACGAAACCCTAAGCAGGATGTGGTGTATATGATCTTTTATCAAACAAGCCTAAAAGCAAAGCTCTATCAATGATGAGGGATATATGATCTGGACGTCAAGTCCAGTATCCAATATGCATTATCATGTGGAACTAGCAGGAGGCAATGCAAGACGATCATCCCCCCATTGATGATTGGTATTGCAGGCCGGGCAACATCAATCACCCCCAACTATCCTACTCCTATCCTCTGCCAAACCACGAGGAGGAGCACCATATCGAGGTTGGAGGGGGGGAAAGCAGTAAACCTCTTCTTTATATCAAGCCCCTGCCCCACCCCGTCCACTTGCAGCATCACTCCCATTGCGCTGATGACAATTACAGATGCCCGGATACCGCTTCCTACCCCGCTGCTCCCTTGGTCGTGGCCGCCGTCGTCGTCGTTGTCATTGATATTGTTGTTGTTGTTGTTGTTGTTGTTGTTGTTGTTGTTGTCGTCGTCGTCCCCATCGTTGAGGGGGGGGGAGATGACAAACCCTTTTTCCGTACCAATCCCAATCTCCCCTCCCTCCACATGCGGCATCTCCCCCATGATGTCGATGATGATCGCATTTGCCCAGACACCAATGTCAGCCCTTCTCCATCCGTAGTCGTCGTCGTCGTTGCTGTTGATATTATCGTTGTTGTTGTTGTTGTTGTTGTTGTTGTTGATGATGATGATGTTTTCGCCATTGTTGTTGTTGAACGCTATTACCTCTATTGCCACGTGCTCGTCCTCACGATCCATAACGCCCTCCAACCGGTCTTCCAGAAGAGCATACAGATCACGACCCTCATTGAAGAGGGTTTTGCAGACGGACATGATGGCATCTGCCCTCATCCAACTGATGCAAACGTCAAGCCGAGGATCCGGCCCCTCCTCCAGCTCCCAGATGATCGCCAGCATGTCCTCGCTTTTGTCCTTCATCCAACCGGCCAGAGAGATCGCTCCCCCTTCGACCTCTGGCTCCATTTGCAGTCGTAAAGACATGTCCCTCACAATCTCATGTAGCCATCTGCATCCGTTCTCCAAGGTAATCAGCCATTCGTTTGCTCCAATATATAGCTCCCTCTCCAAATTTTCCTCCATGGTCATGGTTCGCTCAAAGAACCGCACTGCTTTTGTGTAGTAGCCCCCAATCAATTATATCTGACGCTTCCCCTGTTCACGCGTCACGGGGCGTCACCAAACGACAGGTGGCACGTGGCAATCTGAAAGCCACGGCCACGTGTCGGGCGCATGAACAGGCCCAGCGGCCTGGAGGGGCCCACCTCTCCAGCACGCTGGTCACGCCGGGTACGGCCGGGCCTCGCCGGTCGGCCGGCGTTAGGGCGCTAGCGCTAGGCCATCAAAAACAGAAATAGGAGGGGACCGGGGTAAGGGTAGCCGCTAACATTATGGCACAGGGTTTGAGGGTGACGATCTTGAGATATCATCATTAAACTGACCAGCCCCAGGTAATTCAAAGTGATTTCATTCGGATCATCTGATTGTATCTGGATTCGAACTTGGGTTTCAACAGTTCGTTAGGTGTACCAACTGAGCTACGACTGTTGGTACAAAGAAGAAATTTTAGTATGGGCCTGCATGGCTGAGACAAACGATAGAGCCAAAAGATGAGAGGCGATGCGCTAATCGGACCGGACGACAAGGCCCGCCAGCACTCTGATAGACCTCCTCGGGAGTTCCAAGGAGGGCAAGGAATGCGTCACCATCACTGCGTGAGCACGAAATTGTGTCGCGCAGGTTGATCGGATACACCTTGGATGCATCTACATCGGCGCAGAGGACAGAGGAAGGAGAAACAGACGCTGGAGCGACTTCGTCAAACGCATGGAGAAAAGAAAGGAGGAGAGTTGGTGAGGTGGGAAGGAGAGGATAGGGAGACACGGGGAGAAAAGGGGAGAGAGGGAAGATGAGTCGGGGAGACGAGGCCTAATATGGTCCATGACGAGTCCGTGAGTGGTGGGAAGCTATGGTGAGAAGTGTCGATGACAGTCGGTCGGCACGACGCGGGGGTCGACGGGAAAGTGGAGAGACGAGGGCAAACAGGGTCGAGGACGCCCCATGAGTGGTCAGGAACTATGGAAACAAGTTGACCAACAGGCGGAGGCGCTGAAGACAGAGGATTTGCTAACAGGAGGAGGAAGACAGCGAAAGGTAACAGGAGAAGGACGACAGTAAGAACGACAGGAAAACGACATACTTTCTAAGACCAGCGACGGGCAGTGGGTGGGACTCTCCTTGGCCGGCAACCTCTAAACCACTACCTCCTTCTCCTGACCTTCCTCATTGATCGCTCTCCACCAACCTCCCTTCCCAACGCACCCCTGCTCACTCCACTATTGCCCCTTCATCGACAAACTTTAAGGCCAAATCTGACCGACCCCTCGGCATGTCCCCCACCCCTCAACATATCTCGTGGCAAGAGAGAATAAGACACAATGAGCGGGGAGCGTTGAGGTCAATGCTAGAGCCTCAGGGCGCGAAGGAGAGGGATAGAATGGGTGAGAGAGGAAGAGAGAAGAGCGAGCAAGAGAGTGCGTACGAGTGGGAGCAGATAGTAGGGGGTATTGAGAGAGAAAGGTCAGAGAGCAAAAGGGAAGCGATGGAATAGCAGATCGGGCCGCCTGCCATCTGCACACCCCCCTGCCAGTAAGAGGATCAAGGAAGGCGGGGTTGGAGGGGGAGGGACGACTACACCCACCACCCCCGACACCCCCCCCCCCCCATGGCACGACCCCAGCCACAACAGTGGGGGGGGAGGAGGCCAACAAGCTGCACCATGCCCAGACCACAGCCTCGGTGGGGCCCTGGGACCACAGTCATGAGACTGATATACCCCAGACAGAACCGCTGCCGCCCGACACCATATCCGGACCCAACGACGACACCACCGGGCCCCGGTCGGAGCCGCCGCCACCCGGTACCAATAATCACCTGCCCGGGTCAGAACCAGTGCCGCTTGGCCCTGACTCCGGCTTAATGGCCGACCAAGAACACAATATTGTCCCTCGGTCACACTCAGCGGAACCGGCCCCACCCGGGACCACGGCTGCTCCCACAGGGACATCCCTGGGGGCGGTCCAACGGAACAAGCGCCAGGACCCTATCCACCCGGTGGATGGACCCATTACATAGCCCGCGATGGCACCCCACCAGCAGCCACCACAAGCAGGGCAAAGCATAGTCTACATGAAATCCAGGGGCACACATGCCCTCATGCAGGCCGTGGCTGCCGCGGGGCAAGCCTCCTAAAAAAACAGCCATTTCGTCAAAACGGACATATTATATTTTTTGAACGAAATCAAAACTGATTTTTTTTGCCAAAATCTAGTCGGAATTTTTGGCTCCCAGGGGATCCGGCGTTTTGCGACCCCCTACATGTTTCTGGTCTATGCTTGAGATCAGATTGAAAAAAAAAAAAAAAAAAAAAAAAAAAAATCTGGTCTCAAGCAGAGACCAGATACATGTAGGGGGTCCGGCGTTTTGGGAATGCCGAATCCCCAGGAGCCAAAAATTCCGATCGGATTTTGGCAAAAAAAGTCAGTTTTGATTTCGTTCAAAAAATATAATATGTCCGTTTTGACGAAATGGCTGTTAAAAGAGTCATCGGCCCTCGACACCATTGGTCTCATAAAGGCCCACTTTATTCAAAAACTGCATATCTGTCCAATCAAAAAATACATTGAAAAATATGGTTTTATCTACCCTCACGCCATCTTCCCACCACAAGCGGTGGCCAATCGCAACATGATATACGCACAAAATGCGGTACAGTTTGTATTCCCTCATGCAATGGCAGACGTCCCGATAAACGAAAAACTGCATTGGGTGAATGAGAGACTGAGATCTGTGAAAACCAGTGACCACGCAGGTGCAGACCACTTTCTCATTGAAGCAGCTGCCCCCGGACATTTTATATTTTTTGAACGAAATTAAAACCCACTTATTTGGACATGAAAATGTTATCGTTCTGGCTGTGTGGGGCTCCCCTTGGATGTACCTGAACTTTAGTTAAGTCCAAATGGACCCTCAGGAGATAACAGGTGAGGTTTTTTGGGCCAAATAAGTAGGTTTCAATTTTGTTCAAAATTTTTGACGAAATCGTTGTTCCGGATGTGGTGACGATCATCACAATCAACCCCCTCGACAAACCTGCTCAAATTGCCACTCCCTTGCTACAAGGGTCACACCGTCACACAGTGCTGATCAGATCGTGGGAACCACCCACGCCGTTCATAGCGGACCATAAAAGAGAGCAGTTTATAAGGAACCACTTCTAGGTGGAGTTCTGCTTCGCGCCCCTGAGTGTGCAGGGTGCGATCTCAGCAAACCTACACCAAATAGCCCCAGTTCTGGGGTACATCAATGATGCGCCCCAGTTCCTCCCCAAAAGGGATAACACGCTCCTGGTCGCAGTGGACTGGGATCCAGTGGTCGGATTCCTCATAAACGGTCAATGGTCCTTCTTACAAGAGGACAAGTCTTATGTTGTGCAAGTGAATCACCCCTAGGACCCTTAGTGCTACTAGTGCAGCTGCAGGGGCCACCTTTCTACAAACCTCCACTGTCCCAGTGCATTGGGCAAAACGATGAAAGGTCTGGTCATACCACACCCGGAAGGACCAGGACGATGGATCCCAGAAGACCCCTCCTTTGAAAGTTGGGTCTTCCACCGAACATCAATCAAACAACCCGAGGACTGGAAATGGGAAGGGAAGGGACGCCCTCCCAGATCCCCGGCTTAACTGACAACCCTGTGTCCGCGGGAAAGAGCAAGTCGCGGCACCTCAGAACCCAGGAATTCTAGGGACAAGACAACTGCTTCGTCCTCCACATCCGCTACGGCCCGAGGCACTAGCACACTGGAAGGGATCATGCAAAGGCCCCGGCCCCGCCAGAAGGACAACAAGACCGGGTGCCAGAGGGGGGGGGGGAATCACGCAAAGGCTCCAGCCCCGCTGCCAACTTGACTGATTGTTGCTGCAGGACAACAAAAGTGCATGACTAATAGACATGACAGGGTTGTCCCTCCCTTAGGAACCACAGTATCAGGAGTAGATCGTACAGACAACCCTGCCTTTGCCCATCAGAACGCTGGTCTGCATCCACAAACCCAAGGGGCTCGAGCATTTGAGCACTGGGATCGGGTCGAGTCTCGATTCACAGTGCTTAACAAATGGAGAGAAAAATTGACACAAATGACAGACCTTAGCGCAAAAAAAAAAAAGTCATGGTGTATGGAACCACAATCGCCCCTCTTGGATGGTCCCCCTGCCTCACACCGTACATTGCAGCAAGGGGAGCCCTCAAGGCCTCACCTTGACGACCTCAACCCCCGGTCTACGAAAATGGAAGGATAATGGAGAGGACGGCGGATGACGCCATGGGTTAGCTCCCCATGGACCAATCCGACCCTCCCCCCCCCCGGGGTCCTGGACACAGTCCCACAATCCCCCCTGGACTCGGACAATCAACTGTTGGGACCAGTCTCCCGGGAAGTCATGCTGCATTCTCACCCCCCCCCCTCAACTATGCAGGCCCGCCGCCATGCGGCCTTGCCCTGTCCACGGGTATGGCAGAAATGCTGCAACCCCAAGCCCAACAACAATGGCAGGCGCAGCAAGCCTGCAGCCTTAGTATGACCTCGGACATGGTGGCATTGTGGCAAGCCCTCAATGACCACATGATGCATGAGCGGCTGGCCATGACACATTCCACAGTTGTGCCCTCCCTGGTCAGGGGAGAAGAGGATCAACATGCCTATTGCGAGGCGCTTCCCCCAAAACCGGGCAATGAAATAGACATGGCAAAAGCAGATGTGGAGACTTAGTGTGGTGAACATAACCAGAACAATGCACAAGAACAAAACCAACCCAGAGATAAAAGGGAACAGGGTCACACCGAGGCACAACAACCCCGAAGCCTGTCGAAAGACAAACGGGTAAGACTCTAAGCCAAACTGAAAGTTGTCACAGACGCACTACTCATGGGCCTGCTCAGGACATCCGCACATGGTGACCATGCCAACATCCCCCCTCTGCATTGGGAGAACATAAGAAGAGCATTTATGAGTTCAAACACGGTCACCCACCACTTGGATAGGGCCGTTGACCTGGCCTCCATCGATTGGAGGGTGGTGGCCTCCCTCGTCTTGGAGGCGGTCCACGCCCTCCTCCACAAGATCCGTCGCTCCCCACCTGCAGATACTGATAACACACTGGAAACATCCTTGGTACCAGTGGGTTCCCCTCCCCGCTTGCCGGTCGTGTCCCATGACGGCCTGCAGTGGCCGAAAG